TAGGGACTTATTTTAGGTTTGCACCGCCCGGTACCAGTTTGCATTCCTCTGTGTAACCAAGGTTACACAGATGCCCCGTGACCTGCCAGTTATGTTGGTGTGACCATAGTTACAGGTATCCTATCCCAACTGATCGACAGAATGCTGTTGCTGTAATACTGTCTATGTATTACATAGGTGATTATTCAAATTTTCGTCGTCGGTGGGTTTTGAACTCACAACCTACTACTTGGAGGGTTGACAACTTATCCACTTCACTAAGTCGCTACACCCTGATCTATATTGTAAAATTAATTTAACATAATTAAAATTGTCTAACACTCACACAAACATTTAAAGTATATGAACCATATTTTACAAAGTTTTCTGTACCATTAATTAAAGATATTGTTGCACTTAGACCTCATAATATTGTAAACCATATTTACTCAGAAATAGAAGCTAAAACATCATATATGGCGGCATAAAGAAGCTTAACTGCTAATAAAAAATATAGGACAGAAAAAATAGACAAAAGTTATTAATATATAAAACTATTACTTAATTATTTACTTATAGCAAATTCAAAAAGTATTGTTTCATTTGAGACTGATACTGAAAATCAATTTTTCTGTACATTTTTTTATTTATAATCATAGATTAAGACTGTTGAATATTATAGAACTGTATATACTTTTGATGCATGTCATTCACAATTAAGCTATAAGAGTATATATTTTTGTACAAATGCAATTGAAGGTAAGAGAAAACTTGTTCTTATAGCATTTACTATTGTTTTCATTAAAAATTTGAATAATTGGATGTGGTTTTGTAAAAACCTTTATAAAGCTTTTTTAATAATTAATTCAAATGAATCAGTAGTTATTAGTAATTATGAAAAAGTATTTAAATCATATAGAATCTTTGCTAATGAAATGTCTTTTCAAGATCATATTGATTTTGTAAATAAAAATTAAATTTGTCAGTTATTTAAATATTTGATTTGAATTTTTTTTGTTTTATATTTAAATATGCTTTATAGAATATCTAGATGGCTGATAATTTTGATTTTTATTCACAAAATTAACATAATTGTAGAAAAACATTTCTTATTTAAATAATTTAAAGTTTTATAATACAATAACATTTATTACATAGTATTACAAATGCTATAAAATGAAACTTTCTATGCACATTACATATGACATATTGAAAAAATATTAATACAAAATTTTGAACAAAACTTGAAGACAAAATTTGAGTTGCAGCAAAATCATTGCATATAAAAGATTTTAATAAAATTATGAAAGAAATTTTTGATTCACATACTGAAACTACAGTTTATCTTAATGAAATACTTCCTGAGACATAGATTCTTTATAAATATTCTTGTAATAGATTTGGATATCTTATTTCTAAGGTATTAGAATCTTTTAATTCTTGGTTATATAATAAATGTTTTACAGAATCATTTCAAGCAATTATTTTGCTTATAAGTAATCTCAATACACTTTATTACAATTATCATACAATATATTCCTCAGTAACAATACTTTTATTACCAATTACTACTCAACAACTTCAATCAGTTATTGACAAATGTTATAACCAAATTGTATATCAAGTTAATAAATCAATTTTTGAAGTAAAGAGTAATGATGATAACTTTTGCATTGTAGATCTTGTCTTATTAACCTGTAGTTGTCAACAATTTCAACAATACTGATTTCCTTGTATCCATGCTTGTGCTGCCATCCTTAAATCTCACCAGCAACCATCACAATTTATACATTTTACATACTACACTGCTACTCTTCAAAATGTTTATAAAGAGTCTGTTCAACCTGTGGATGTAAAAATGTGTCTTCCTGATAATCAAATATTACCACTAGCAACAATTAGACAAGCAGGTTGACTATGAAAAATTCAGTTACATAGTCATGGAGAAGTTGCATCAGAAGATCAAATCACTTGTAGAAAGTGTGGTAAAAAAGGTCATAATTCACGTACTTGTGGCCGACGACATCAAAAAAAAGCAATTAAGAAAATTTAATATCGTAATCATAAAGAATTCGCTATTGCGATTTATGTATTTTCAATGAAATATGCTCTTAAGATAATAAAATAAATAATTATTTATTGGTGCAGTCAAATTAATTTGCACTTTGGGTCCTTATTTGTAATAATTTTCAAAAATTGGGTCCCAATACGTAATTATCTTTAATTCGGGTCCCTATCTGTAATTATTTTAATTTTTTAGGTCCTTATTTGTAAATTTCCCTATAATTTAACTATAGTTTAAAAGTTATGACATGAAATAAAGTTATGCTATGAAATAAAGTTGCGCCATTGATTAAGGTTTGTAACTAATTATGATTACGGCACATTGGATTTTTCCGTAACCATAACTGTATCTCAACAAATTCATTGGGACGATTCTACTATATTACTAGTCGGTTGGATAAAATTTGAACATTTACTAAACCAGACTTATTACCAATCAAGAAAACTATCTATATACTATCAAGTATCGAGGAAGACAAGAATCTTCATGATATAAAACAACTTCATCGTAATTTAAATTACCACCCGGAATTCCTATTACACTATCGTATCCTTGAGGCGGGTGTAAAAGTCCTGTACAGTTAGTTGCAAGTTTATAAGCATTTCCTACAATTACTTTGTTTAAAAGCATTACTTTGTAACTTGAACCGGAATTATTTTTTATGTAATCATCAGATTTAGATGAAGTGGATGAAAAATATAATCCCTTTCTAATAATCATAAACAATTATTATTATTATTATTATTATTATTATTAAAGTATTATGATTTTTTTAAAAAAAAGCTTACCCGAAACGTTGAAAATTCTTATTAGTTTCAAAAATTTTATACCCATTCTTAATAATACAACATACGGCACATTTATTAGATGAACATAATTTGCCAGTTTCACCGATTTTACAAACTCTAAATGAAATACAGCGGAAATGATTAAATTAAAAATAAAATAAACGCGTAAAGTGTAAAAATAAAATAAAGTAAATGTGTAAAAAATAAATAAATAAATAAAATAAATACATAAATATATAAATAAATAAATAAAATACTTACACGGATGTTCCATGAAATCTTTTTTGTTCATTTCCAGCAGTCATGCGCCGACCGTTAAACGGTTTGTTGGCTAAATTTCGATTTCTTTCAACTAAAGTTCGTTTGATATTATATCGATCTTCTAAATTCCCATTTTTTATTTTAAATATTTTAAAAATTTGTGGTATTAATTTGTTTTGATGTTTCCAACTACTTAAGAATTGATTTTCAATACTCTTATATCTTTCGTTTGTGATGAATAAAAATCTTTTGCTTTTGATTAATAACAACTGCGGTAAAGAATGATTATAAATTGTCCATACCAAGCTACCTGGTCTAGCTTCACCTATTTGTGAAGTTGCTTTTCCGTAAATCACATTATAATAAGTCCCATTGAGAAGAATAACCCCAGAATAAACTTTACTAATTTTAAACCGTTTAATGACCTTATTATCAAGGTCTACACAACGTTTAGCATGAAGAACTTTATCACGTGAAAACTTATAATGTCCTGATTTATACCACCGCTCATCAGAGATTCCCATTTTTTTTTCTTATTTCAAATAGTATAATTGGAATGTCTTAAAAAAAACAGTGAGTATTAATGACAGATATATATAAATAAGAAATACTACGCCATGTAATCCAAAGCTATGATATTGTGCATTTGATTAAAGATAGAAAGAATTCACTGAATACTCAAACAGGATGCAAGGAATAACGATAATAGCAAGGAAGAACTTTGGTTTATGCTTTTATCCTCGAGCTGTTTATATAAATTAATCAACCATATTAATTTACCTACACTACACAAACGCGTAAGCATGCATAATTTTTTTCACACAAAGTAAAAAAGTAAGTTATCAAAGAGCATAGAAATATGAGTCATCAAAACGCATAGAATAAGTCCTCTGCTTCGGTCCGGACAATAAATCCTATTTGTGTAATACAAGGGACAGTCAACACACGCTACAGGAGGAACCGTTAGTGTTACACATATGCGTGCTGCCAAGGGAAACCTGTCATCGAGCTTTCAATTATATTTTGTGTTCAGTTTGTTTCCAGCCGATGATGGATTTTCCAAGATAGCGTTCTGGGAACAAACTGGACAAAGAATATAATTGAAAGCCCGATGATAGGTTTTCCATTGGCAGCACTCATATATTAAAACGGGTGAGGGATTATATCTATCACATAGACTATAGAGTTGAGTTCAGCATAAATAATTCTATTTTAATTGATCACGACGTGTGTGAGATTAGATGTGTAATATTAATGGTTTCACCTCGAAAAACACGATAATCCGAAATCTCCGGATTATTTATGTCGCACATTACAGTCAGGGATTTTTCAAATTCGTGTAACTGTAGATCATTTCTCTTTCTGATAAAAGGTCTTCAATTGGAAAATTCTTTTTTAATTCTATAGTACAAAATTTGCACCAATCATTGGCCGTGTTGTTATTTGGACTACATATTCATAAAATAACTTTTGCAAGAATATTTTAAAGTTTTTATAAAACTGGTTGTTATTTTTAGATAATAAGAAATGCCTTTTTTTAAATAGAAATCGATTTTAGAATAACCTCTTAGTGATTTGCAGATTATTTCAGATGATCAAAAATTCAGATAAAGTATGTTTAACCGTGTAATATAATATAAAATCTAATACACGAGCATTCGAATTTTCGATCATAAGGGGATCTAATTTGACAGAAATAGATAACGTATTCATTTTCAAATGAGCGATATATAAACTTTATTTCATTTTCCGATAAATTTGAAATGATCTTTATCGCTTACTTATTTGATTGCTGCCAAGTGAAAACCAGAACTTCTAAAAATAGACTTCTTGACATAACGGATTGCGGACTTTTAACCGACTGCCTAGAATATTGAATTATACTTAGGGATGGCAAGTGTTGTAAAATGTAATTTAATCAGTTTTATACTCTAAAAACTTTTTCGTAATTCTATTGTATCATTAGTCGTGTTGGATAAATTTGAGCATTACAAAACCTAATTGTAAGTTTATAAGTATTCCTACAATTACTTTTTTAAAAGCATTACTTTGTAACTTGAGCCTGAATTATTTTTTACTTTGTTATACGAAATTTCTATGGGACTAGCAATGCCAGTCTAAAAAATTTCGCTCATTATGTGATCCCATTAAAAAAAAAAATCTCCAAGAAAAAATATTTCGCAATTACTTTAGGGTTAGGGTCCTACCAGTAAATTAGTATTTGGTTTAAAGTGCTATAGTTATAGTAAAATTTCTAGAGAAAATTTTTTTGTTAGCACGCAGAAGGCACTTTCATAGGCAAATTTTAAGCTATAAGCGTTTTTTTTTGTTTTGATTTTTTCGCACTTCTTTTACATTACACTTGGTCTCGAATCCTGATTGGCTAGCAAAATTTTTTAGATTGGTATTTTAAATAGAAAATTGCTTCAATTCACTACTGGTGATCGTCACCAGTAATTTACAATAATTAAAATTAAATTTTTACCAAAGCAAAAATTTTTTTAATATTTAGAATAAGATTTAAAAGCTTGATTTAGAATAAAGAAAGGGTTATACTCAGAATTTTATAGAGAATTTTTTTATTAAAACACCAAAGTAGTTTTGTTAATATAATTTTATTTTATGTTATATATTAGTAATAATCATCAATGGTAATAAATAGCAAATCTCTTTTAAATACAGTTCAAAATTAGTGATCTAAATTATTAGTTAAAATACCTACTAGTTAACAACTTTTCAACTAATCAATTTGGAAATTTTTATCAACTAGTCAAATTCTGTGATATTTTGTTTATTTTGATTGACTCATTTTGATTTTTTTAGTTTAATTGATCAATTAACAAATTAATCATATAATAGAAAAATTAATTAGTTGTAACTATAGTTGGCAACTAATTAATTGAAAATTTTCAGATAATATAAGATTGCATATATCTAATTTTGCACTTAATCTTATATTAATTTTATCTTTCTAGTATAACTAACAAAAAATTTTAAGTATATAATATGGCATAATTAAAAAAAGTCAAATCAAATATTTATTTTGTTAAAAATTACTTATAATTTAAAATTCTATATAAGAAATTAATAAAAAATATTTTTTAAGCAATTTTACTATTATAATTTGCTAATATCTAATTCTAAAATAAAGTTAATTTTAATATAAATATATTTTTAATTATTATATATTTAAGATTTTTTGTAATTATGCTAAAAAAATTCTGATTATATACAAAAAAATATAACATTAAAGATTAATGATTATCTAATAATAATTATATTTGTGATTATATTGTTTTAAGTATTTTATACTAAATTTATTGTAATCAATAATAATTATTACTGTAACTTGTTAGAATAAAATAATATAAGTTAATAAAATATACATTTTTGTATACAAAAATATAGGTTATATCATTACTTTTGATACATTATATTTTATAAAATAAATTAAAAAGCTTATTTACAATATTAAATCTAATAACTGTTATTTTAAACTATACTTTTAGGATTATATATACTATAATATTAAGATTTAAAAATA